TGCAGTATGAAGTTTAGCGGAGACGACATCAGTTCATCATTGAGCTCTAGCACTGGGTTTTCTGGTAAGTGTTTATAGTGACTCAATGGAGGCATATTTTATAATAAAGTAATTATGGGTTTATTTTGTGAAAGGTGACAACAGTTGACGTTGTAAGGCATTGTAAGAGTTAATACAGTAGTAGTGTTAACACTATTCAAAGTTTGGGCTAACATTTGCATATTGGATAGACCCAATTGGGTTCACACACAGGAGGAAACAGTGGTGAGCATTGGGCTAAGAAACATTATATTACGAATACACAAAAATTTTCAGTCTTTTTAACTATGATTACTCAGTACAGTAAACGATAAAGGTACATGTTAGTTCTACAATTATTAAACATTTACCAACACAAATTCAAAAATTGATTGCAGATTGCAGAATAACAGCAAGTTGCACATAGTCTCATCGTCAGTTTATTTATTTTCTTGGAACAACATCTCTTTGTGTGCTCGCGTTGATTGTCATGTCGGAAATAGCATATCAAAGTGAATAGTTATGAATATAATAGTAAATCTTCAAAATGAACATTGAATACAATAGCGTTTTGGGCACTTAGCCCAACCTCAAGTATTCACGCACACTCATTAGCCTGTGCTAAGGATCTGAATTGGGTCTTAAAAACGGGTAAATTTAATCTGTTACAGTAGTGTTTCTAAGCCCGTGCTAAGCATTCATGCACGTTTTCTTAGTTTTCTTTTCTTTATTTTTAAATTATCTCTTAGCCCGTGCTAAGGACCTGTTCGTGAACGCTACTAATATCACATCATTGTTGATTATAGTAGATGTACATTGTATTGTAGGGTCATCTGGGAAGGCACCATCATGGAGTCACAGTAGTCGGAGTACGTATTCGTACATGGACAGTAGTATGAACTCTACCAAATCACCAACACGTGCACCAAATAATTTTAGTAATTCTCCACCGCTTACAAATTCTGTGCCAAACAAACAAAATGCATCAAGTAATCGAATGATGCAGACTGGAGGAGGTAAGTTATTGAGCAATGTCATCTTCCTACTTTACTGCATGTTGGAATACTGTTGTACTCTTAATACTAACTCTCATGCAAGCAATGTGCAGCAAGCCTTTAATTTATTCTTGTCCCATACCAAAAAAGCTGAGGTAACACTGCGAAAACGAATATCTATGATTGACAGTGAATACTCGCCAGTGAATGTTGGGGGAAGAGAAAATAATATTGTTTCATTGCTTGATTGTTTGATGTATCCAGAAATTCACAATACATGTGTGTACATGTATGTAGTATTGATATTATAATCCTCTCAATCAAAATTGCAGGAAGCACATAACCATATGACCCATCTGATGGAAATAACAATAGATTCACAGGGTTAAAATCTAACTTTAATACATAATCTAAGTGATGTTAAATTTGTTCTTATCTTTCAGTTCCAAGCAATTACCAAACAGGAGGTAGACAACAAAAGAACACTAGGAATAGTGGAGGATGGATGGACTTTTAATTTTGCTTCTGTTACTTTATTTAAAATTCTATTTAAAAATAGGAAAAAAAAAACAGGCAAGGATAATAAAATTACCAAAGAACA